CTGCAGAAAGGGAAAACGTAGAAGAAAGGACCTTTTTTACCATAAATTCAAGTTATAGCTTGCTTTTACCCCGCCTAAACAATTAATCATACTCAAGGAAGGAAAAAAATCCCAACTTTTAACATCTTCTGTAAAGCTGATCCTATAATATGTATAAAGAGTTGAAGGCCCTTGCTTAAGATAACACAATCAATGGTGGAAAACAAAGCTGAAGTCTTCTTTATTCAAAATCTCACATTGTACACACTGCAGTCATCCCTTCCTTGAAATATACTGAAACCTCTGTTCTTCTCCAGTTCAGACAACGTTAACACATAACATTTATACAACTAAGTAGACCAGATAACGACATCTCAGAGACCTGTAACAAATTAAATTTTAAAGTAAAGTGCCATTTCCTTGCTTGCGCTTTAAAGGTTTTAACTTTTAGGTTTTCTGATGACAGCCAGAAGTTTTCTTTTCTTTTATCTTTTTTTTTTTAATAATTTTTTTATAGCAAGCTACTGAGACATCAATATAAACTGACTCATTTAGGAAAAACTAACATTTTGCTGAGTTAAAATGAAATAAAATCTGAGCTCAGCTCAAGGAGACAACGCAAAAGGCTTCTCTTAAGAGCACAAAAGAAAGAATGCTGCGGGGATTGGTAAGGATGTACCTCTTGTATCAGGTCCAACCAGAGGTTAAACCAATGCCACACCTCATCTCTAAAAACCAACAACAGCAGATATCTAAGGAATAGCATAAGAGAAGGTACACAGTAAAAGTTTTCCAGAAGACTTTCCCAACTTTTAGAAATGGCTCAAGGACCTCCTGAATCACTGTCTTTATCTTCAGTGGTGACAGATGCATTACTACCCCCATCCCAATGAACTTCAAGTGCTTTTCGAATCAATGTAGACCTTCAGTATCTACAACATCCTGTAGAACAACTACAAGCTATATTTGTTATTTGTTAGTAAGACATGACTTAAGTTTTCTTTCCTCACTGGCATAGCCATAACTGAATCTGTATTTTGTACCTCAGAAATTCAGCGTTCTGATTCAACATGACTATCACTAGTTGAGTTTAAAGTTAGATATTTTAGTTACTTTATTTTACATGCTTTGGAAATGTAGAGGAATTCATAAACTTTAGTTTGCCATTTTCCAAACCCTTGTTTAAAATGGGATTTGACTATGTCTACTCTTAAAAGTTTGTTTGTTTGTTTTTTCATTTAAAAAAGATTTTTATCAATCTCTTCCCTATCATTTACTGGAGTATGAAGAGATCAGATAACCTGAACACTATGTTTTTCATTTTTGTCAGCTTTATCCCTTTCTTTAACTTAAAAATATATTCTTCTACAATCTTCACAAAAGTGTAACAAGTCTGATTCAGGTGGTTTTTTTTGTTCATTTGCCTGTTTTTTAAGATGAAATCTCACATCCTTTCCAAATAACTTCATTTATTCTAGAGATGTCTCTTCTTTCTCCAGCCATGTCATATCCTCAATATTATCTCACTTGGTGCCAAGCCCATGAAAACACTCGTGCTGCTCTTGCAGAGAGGATCTTTTAAGCCCATGTGGGCAGACTAGAAAAACTTTGTGGAGAACTTCATGCCAACAGCAAGGTATATGACGCTACCTAAGATGTGTGCTCAAGTCCATAACGCAGAAACAGAAAGAGCCCGCTAAGATATGCAGTTAGGGTTCATTTCACTCAGCTTTGGGTATCTAACAGCCTGATATCTAGTCTAAGCTAGTCACCCTATGATCCGTTTATAGGAAATGGAGGAACGAAAAAGCATCTCCAAAAAGCAATTCACCTAACAGATTCTGGGATGAGGCAAACTCTGCTCTAGACTCTTTTATTAAAATAAGGGTACACTTAATTTCAGAGCAAGCTTTTTGGAAACAGTACAATCAGTGTATCTGATCACTATGTTTGAGTTTTATTGTTATGCAGATTAACAACATAAATGATTACATATTTAATACTGCAAGGTCAGAAAATTCCAAGAATTCAGAAACCCTGTGTAGATCTAATTTTGGTCTCTTCCACAACTGTTGTCCTAGCAGCCCTACTACGACTCCCCTTTGTCACAAACAAATTATTTACGACAAATATTTCACAAGTGACATTAGAAAGATCAACGTCACTCCACAAGACTGAGCTACTTCATCAGCAGATGCTTCACCATGAAAAGTCCTAATTTAGGACCTGATCTAACAGAGACACTTGACCTGTGTCTTCTGGAGTCAGCAGACACAAAGGAGCCTCAAGCCAAAAAGCTAGTCCTTAGCTTTAGTTTTGCAAATGAACCTGATATTTATTTCTAAAAGAGGAAGGTGCTCATCAGTGGCCTTACATTTTTTTAATAACTCAACTTTAACAGACATGGAATAACTTGCTACTGAAAGAAGCTACTCAGGGATAGCATTGAGATCTTCAGGCACTGACTTATGTGAGTACTGAGAATATCATTAGAGACATTGTGAGGGAGAACACAAAAACATTTCTGGAAAGGATAATGAATTGTTACAGATCTTCCATTAAGCTAATTCTTCCAGACAAAAGCTATGCTCTGTGTGCAAAGCTGTTTATGTCATATTTACTTATTATATGGCACCTCTACCTTCCTATGAAGAAACATCTGGTAGCAGCCTGTCACAAACAGGGCCTTAAAATACACAGCCAGGCAGGGGGAAGTGCAGAGGGTGTCCTCAGCCATTCCAAAGCCCTCCTGCTTAAGAGCATAATTGTTTCAGCTGTAACCATGAAAAGATTCTATGCACACAAAGAGAACGCTCATGACTCAAAATGTATTAAATGACTACATTTGAACTTTAAAACAATTTATTATACTAGAAAAACAAAGCATGGAAACTACCAGATAGTAAGGTATTTAGTTAGGGAATGCAAGTACAACTGAAAAAACAAAGCCTGGAATGGGAGCAGCATCCCAACTTCAGCTGAGCAGAATACTCAAAAATAGACAACCATGAAAATAACGCATGATTAAAGTAATAGTGTGTTTTCTGCCACCTATTGGCATTTTTTAGCTAACAATTAAAAAACAAAGGACTATGCCACTTGTAAGGTACTGCTTCTGTTGCATTTTAAGGGAATGCATAGAGAATGCATAGATGGTCCACTCAAACTACCATTGAATAATAACATTTGAAGGAAGTTTCTTCATGCAACTGTTTCAGTCTAATGCAGTCGCTGTCGACGAAAGTGCTGGGAACTTTGATGATCACAAAACACCGGTGAAAAAAGACTGAAAAATCCTGCTTAAACTAAAAACAATAGCTTAGGATAAAAATAAGTATTCAAATTCAACAGCTTACTATTATACTTGTTTTCAACTACTAAGAAATAATGATCAAAACATATAACTTTCACTGAAAAGTACATTTCTCAATAAACTATATTTAAAAAGTGGAGATCTAAGTTGTTGTGACAATAAAAAACCTAAACCTTACCTAGACACTAACTAACTAAACATCCCTTCAATTTATACAGAAAACAGTTAATGCCATTTGTATAGACTTCCTACCAGTTATAACCAACACTAAAGAGGACTTTTCTTCTTTGTCACCTCTCTATTCAGGCCTTATTTGCGTTTGTTTGTACTTACTATCTGTTAATCTCTCTTAACAAATGACAACAATAACTGTTGCTATTATGCATGGAAATTAAACATGTAGATAACTGTGTGAAGGGAGGTATTTTTGAAAAAAAAACAGTATCAGAAACATGTAGCTCTTTATGTCTCTTGTTTTGCTTTGATAATTAAGCCATAGCCTTCATTTATTTTAAACAAAAAACTTTTCCATGGACATGCATGTTGCAATCAAATTCAATACATGCATTATGTTCTGATTCAATTTGTTCAAGTGCATTATTAACCCTTATTTGATCTATGCCTGTCGTCTTCACTGACCAAACAAACCCAATCCTTCATTTCCCAGCAGCTATCACTGAGCCTGTAAATTAATTTGCAATAGATCAAACAAAATCATAATAGGAAACCTTCAGTTTTGTTCTACTTGGTATCTGCAACACTGTGGGAAATGAAATCCAAGTTGACAGGGAAAAGAAAAAAAGCAACCAGCATTTCCAAATAGTCTGTCTACAAATGCTTAGTTCATTTTAAAATATAAAAAATGTATGCAAAAATAACCCTGAACTAAATGCACTATATGAAAGAAAATCCTTGAAGAGTACTGTGTCCACAAACTGTAGCTAATGGGGAGAAATTTGCAAGTCAAAAGTAATTTTCTTTCTTTGTAACTCTGTTCTTGAGAATTAGCCTCTCACATTCTAGTGATCAACAAGCATTATAAATATTACCCCAAAATACAGAAGCAAGTGGTTTTGGAACAGCCTTTCAAACAGAAGTTGCAGGAGTCAACAACATACATTTATTGAGCTTTATCTTAATAGTTTTTACAAATTACATTTCACAATGTAGCTTGGTTGCCTGCTACAGTAGAGCACTGGATGTGCTTCTCTATGACACTTCAGTTTTGTATCTATGTTCTTGCCTTCAGGCAGTCTGGATGCTGAGGGACTACAATGCTTTAAAAGTTCACATGGAATTAAAAAATGCAGTAGTAAAAAGAAGAAAGCTGCAAGCACTGAAAATTATTCAGAGGTCACTATCAGTTACTTCGGAGTTGAATTTAACGTGTAATTAGTTCTTGCTTCTCTACAATCTTTCTCTTGAAGACAATCTTCATGTGGATTTTTGAAAAGGATATCTTGATGGATGACATCCAATCTCTAGACAGCTAGGATATCTAACCTCAGACACATTGGATCCAAAATACATGGCTTCCTCTCGGTAGAGCTGAAATTACTACCTTAAATCATGAAACCATGCCAAAAAGGAAGTGTAGAAACACCACCTGGACATGCCTTCCTAGTCAACCAGCATAAGCTTGCTGTTCACATCACTGATCAGCAACCCAGCTTTTGGAAGGCAGAATGTGAGAGACAACATAATGAAA